AATGAGCGCTCAGGATAATAACTGAGCTGTGTTTGAGCAGAGAAGGCACTCCCTCTCTTTTAGATCTGGAAAAACCCTTACACTTTCCAGCTTCAGTGACGGTGAGGTAATAACCCAGCCAGAATATATTGTATTGGCACATTCCTGAGGGGAAGAACAAAAACCCACTGATCTTTCCTCTAATGAGTAATTCTACTGCCAAGCACAGGTATGTAAGGTAATACTTGTTTTAAGGAAATGTATTCCCACTTTCTGAGCTTGCATTATCTCCAGTCACTGTAGTGAGCTGTTTAACCCAGCAATCAAGCAAGTGTGGCCAGACTCATTCATTTCTATTTATTAAAGTCTGGGAGACTTTCAGAGGCCAAGATATATTCTGGTCTGAGAAGAGGCCATTCTGCAGGCTGGATGCAGAGGCATGGCTGGGGAAAGGTTACATTTTTCACCTCTCTTTGGTGACAACAACCAGGTCCAAAGCAGAGTCTGTTAATGCAGAAGAGATCAGAGCTGGAATATTCACAGACACAACAAAATAATCACTGCCACTCTGTGTAGCAGGCAACTGAGTGCTGCTGTGCTCAGTAAGGAAAGGGAAGGAAGATGAAGTACTGTGGTATAGACCTATTTGCAGGCTTCTACTTCCAAATATAGAACTTACAGAACTTTGCATGCTTGTACTTCCAAATGATGTAAACTAGTGCAAAAAGGATCCATTTCCTGCAAAATAATTAATTTTAAGTTATCTTAACCGTTCTTGATAGCTGCTCTGAGTGCTGCATTTTCCAATGCAAAGAAGGAGACTGCAGAAAACCACTTCCATTTATTTTATATCCAAGAAAATAAATCTTAACGTGGGAAGTATGTACCTTTTCATGTGTTTACTGGGCTTGGGAACTAGCAATACAGCAACTCAGGGAAACAAAGAACAAATCTATACACTCTTCAGAAACTGATTAGTATTAGCTTTCAAGCCTGGCAATCAGAACTGCTAGATTATTTCCATGGATGAATAGCACCTTCCAGTTCTATCTTAACTTTGGTTGCTTCATTTTCAGCCAGTCAGAGAGCCCACCACTGCATGATGGGTGCCCACTATGGGTTTGAGAGTCAATGGGCTGAAGCAAGTGTTGGATTCACAAATTACTTAAGTCCCATGGCTTTTCCTCACCCTGAAGAGATATTTTGCCTTCAGACCCACACTGGTATCTCTGTATGGTACAGCAGAAGATAAGTGTGAGGACATGCCTTGGTATAAGTCAGCATGAGATTGGGCATTTCTGTATCATATTGGTCAAAGGTTTATCTTCAGGAGGAAATTGCTCAGAATAGCTGCCTCACATGCTAAAGTGAACTTAGCAACTTGTATACTTGTTAATGAGCACTAACAGCAAATCAGACTACACCGGAGGGATTAGAACCATCAGACATCTCCACAGCCCCGCAGCAGAGCAAAGAAGGGCCAGCCAGAAATGTGGGCTCCCTCAGCTGGAAAACACAAAGCATCTTTCAGAGTTTCCACGCAAACTTACCTTGGTCACCCGTGGTTCACACCTGTGTACAGCTGCATGCATTGTACCAAAACGTTGACTTCTCAGGGCACATGGTTAATATACAGCTTTTTAAAGCAGCTGTTTAATAAGCCATGAACCCTCCCAAGCAACCTGCCACCCATGCCATGTTTATTCATGCAGCGTGACAGTTCACAGGCCCTGCCAAGGGCAGCCACGGGCTTCACCATTCCATGTCCCATTCCCAGTCTCTAAGTGGGTGTTTGTGGACTGAATGTCCTGGTCACACCACCAAAAGCTCCACAGAAACGAATCAATATTTGCTCTCTTTACCCTGCTACTCCACCATGAAGTCAAAGAGCTCAGTCTGAAACACTCCCAGGCTTCGAGCTCCCTCTGCAGTATTTTGTAAGGAATCATCTCACCTCAAGAAACCTCCAAATTCTTTGGATAGGAGCTGGATCATTCATAGCACTACATTTTCTAGGAAACTTCCACTGAAATCTGAGCTGCTCTAATAAATCATTTCTATTACGTTTTATTCTGATGTGGAGCAGTTAGGATCTGCTGACCTTGGCAAATGCCTTCTTTCCTAAAGCCCCATGAACTGCTTTCAAAGGAAATAACTGGAGGAAAGCACATTGTTAGGGTACCTTCATCTGTGAATGGGTCAAAGTAGCATTAACGGGTCAGATTCCCACATAATAAACGGGGCTACTGAATCACTAGGCCACACATTAGGATTGAGTTTAAAAGCATTTAAGCAATGACTTATATCTTAATAAAATGATGATCTGTATCTTTTATTTCTATTTTTGTTACTAATTTAGACACCTTTAGAATTACACTTGTGTGGAATTGCTTTCACACCTCCTCATACTTCAGTGCTGAATCTGGCTGCTAAGTTCATATGAACCTATTAAAATCTCAGTTGGTGTTGCTTTCAACTGTATCTCAAGGGATAGAGAATAAAGCTATAAATGGCACTGATTAGACTTCCTTGTCTCTGAGTTGGGTGGCTGCCATCACCAGGCACAACTATGCGCAATGTGATTTGGCTCCTCCTGTTTTGTACAGTCACCTTCCCTGGCAAAATGTAAATGAGATTTTATTCAACTGGATTTTATACTTCTTAGATCATTACTAAGGCTTACGTCTGCTTTATAAATTAAGCCCCACACTGCAAATTCTCCTTGGCATTGCACTACCCTTGCAATTAATGTTCTTTCCCTCAGCTTAAAGTATATTCAGAGCTGCAGAGAGAAAATACATCTCTTAAAACAGGCACATCTTACCCCAGCACACATTCTTACTGCTAATTTCTTTCACTATTTATTTTACCATGAGACCCTGCAATAGGTTAATTTCCTCACTTGGAGTATTGTGTGCAGTTCTGGTGTCCTCAACATGAAAAGGACATGGAACTGTTGGAACAAGTCCAGAGGAGGCCACGAGGATGATCAGGGGACTGGAGCACCTCCTGTATGAAGACAGGCTGAGAAACTTGGGGCTGTTCAGCCTGGAGAAGAGAAGGCTGCGTGGCGACCTCATAGCAGCCTTCCAGTATCTGAAGGGGGCCTATAGGGATGCTGGGGAGGGACTCTTCATTAGGGACTGTAGTGACAGGACAAGGGGTAATGGGTTCAAACTTAAACAGGGGAAGTTTAGATTGGATATAAGGAAGAAGTTCTTTACTGTGAGGGTGGTGAGGCACTGGAATGGGTTGCCCAGGGAGGTTGTGAATGCTCCATCCCTGGCAGTGTTCAAGACCAGGTTGGACAGAGCCTTGGGTGGCATGATTTAGTGTGAGGTGTCCCTGCCCATGGCAGGGGGGTTGGAACTGGATGATCTGAAGGTCCTTTCCAACCCTAACTATTCTATGATTCTAATTTGCAGCATTTAGGGACTAAAAAAAGGTCTCTCTTCTAAACAGGTTTAATATTTTACCTGAGAGACTGAGAGTAATAAGTATGTTGGCTGCTTTTCAAGGTTGGCATTAGGTACACCCTGTTGCCTTTCCTGCATAAGCAACATCAGGGAGGGGGGGAAAGGAGGCTGCTGGAAGCCCCAAATTTATTGTGAATTTTAGGATTATCCAGTTAAAAATCAAAGAAAATATTGCTAATGTTTATCATAGCAAAGGAAATGATTTTAAGGGAATGCATACTTGGAGGAGACGTTGCAGCCCAATGTTCATATAACCTGGGAGGAATATATGGGAAACAAATCTTGTATTCTATATGAAATACACATTTTCTTACTTCATGCCCACTGCTGAGGATGCACAGATGGACTCCATGAGCATAGCCAGCTCCATACATTGGCTCCCTTGGTCTTGTGCCTATGGGAGTTAAGAAGTGTTTTGGGAGTAGGAGTTGTTCCTCACTTGGAATGTGAGACTGGAAAAGGAGATGTGGAAGATAACACTTAAACTTGTGTGCCTGACACTGCAGTCTGTTTATGACAAGGACCATGGGTATATTTGTATGTGGCAGTAAGTTAAAGGATGCACTGGAAACTATTGGCACTGGGGTAGTTTGAGGAATCAATGTGCCAGTGGTCACCAGGAACAGAGAGATCTCTGCACTACCTACATGTGATGCGGAGAAAAAACATCGTGTTTTGCCTGAGCTTTGGGGACCTACAAAACAATGGCACGAACCTGAACTTTCCCATTTATGAGAAGTTCACCCTTCACCTTGTATAAAAATTGCCCTTGGAATCCAGGCACTTCAGATTTGACCTGTTTCCTCCCTTTTAAAGGTCAGGAGTTAGTGTATGTCACAACCAATCTCCGTAAGGAACAACGACCAGGCTGCAGCCCTGTGTTTTCAGGGAAAGGTGGAGTCCTCGGGGGCAGCAGAGGCTGGTAAGGGAGGGCGGATACAGCTGTCCTGGGGAGGCTCCATGGGGACTGTGCCTCTCTGGGAGCAGAGCTCTGCTATGACCTTTCTTGCTCTTCAGTGAGCAAGTGCTTTCATCCTTGTACTGTTCTCCTTTTGCAAAAGTAACCCTTGTAGGTGTGGGTGTTCACAAGAATCCAACAATCCTCCATTAATGGGGAAACCTGCAGTTCCCCCACCTTAAGGTCCAGCCTGGTTCAGGTGGCAGGACCCGACCCTGCTCCTCCTGCGGCAGGAGACCGCCCGAGCTCCGCCCTGACACACGGTTCCGTATCCCCATCACAAAACAAACCCGTTCGCCTCCGAAGCCTTTTTCCGCTCCGCGCTATCCCTGAGCTCACCCTCAGTAAGGGCAGAGTCCAGCTTTACCACAGCGCAGAGGCGCGGCCGCCATTTTGTGGCGTGCCGGGAACCCGCCGCCGGCGTTACGTCACTTCCGAGAAGAGCAGGCGCGGGCTGAGGGTCAGAGTCGGTGGTCCGCCATTGCGGCGCTGCCGCCTCCGGCCCGCCTCGGGTTTGGTCTGTGCCGGTTCGGGACCGCGCTCCCCGGCCTCCCGAGAATCCGCCGTGTGATAACAGGAACGTGGTGGTTGAGGCGCAGGCCTCGGCGCTATGGATCCGTTTCTGATACTGCTGCACTCTTTCTCCTCGAGGCTGTCGGCAGATGAGCTCTCTTCCCTCAAGTTCCTCCTGAGGGAGAAGATCGGGAAAAGGAAGCTTGAGGCTGCCCAGAGCGCGGGGGAGCTCTTCAGCATCCTCCTCGAGCAGCAGCTGATCACAAGCGATCAGACGGCGTTGCTTGAAGGCTTGTTTAAGACTATTAACAGACATGACTTGGTCGCAGAACTAAAGCAGTTCGTGGAGCAAGGAGAAGTTAGTGCTTCTGATAATCAACCAGATGCGCATGAAAAACGTAGGTGGATCTATTCGTTTTTAATTCCCCCCCCCCCCCGGCAACCCCGTTATGGGGTGTTTAGGGGCAATACAGAACGCGGCTGCCCTCAGCTGCTGTAGCTGAGCCCGCTGCTGAGGGTGCTTCTGCTGGTACAAGGGAGCGTCTTATACCCTGGAAATGCGCCTTGAGGGCAGCACATGCTGCAAACGGCGTTCTGGGGTGGAAATTTCTTTCCTTTTTTATCAAATGATCGCTTGCAATAAGGGATACCTGCATCATACAACAGTACATTGCAGTTCGTGCTGTGTACCTGGGATTCCGGGTATATCCAGTGGGTTTCCAGAACTTGGTGTGAGACAGCAAGAGTAGAAGTGTTCTGCTAACAAAAACCGCCTTCAACCAACTTTTAAACGTTGTATTTTATTTCTCAGTAAAGCCGTCGCTAAACACATTTCTGCTATTTTCAGGTCTCCAGAATGCAGCTTTTGAAGTCATATGTGAAAATATCGGGAGAGACTGGAAGATGCTGGCACGAAAACTGGGCCTTTCTGAAGTGAAAATGGAAAGAATAGTGGCAGAGTATCCATTTAGCTTGTATGAACAGCTGTTTCAGTCCCTGCAAGCGTGGCAGAAAGGGAAGGGAAAAGATGCAAAGGTGGCTGACTTACTGAAAGCCCTTCGGGGCTGCCATAAGAATTTGGTGGCAGACATAGTTGAACAGAAGCTCTCACAATTGGATGCTGGAACCAGCTTACATCAACATCAAAACAATCCCACATCCCCCAGCGAGGAGGAGAGAAGTACCAAGTGCCTTCCACTCTTCTGAACCAAACTCAGTATTGGTGGCTCAGTTACTTTTTCTGCTATTAACTTACATGCCTTAATATGTTGATTTGTGGTCAGATGAAGATTAATGTAAAACCAAATAACTTTGAGGTAATGCTTTGTAGTTTTATGCTTTCTTTAAGAGATTTGAACTTGCACAAGACCCGAACTCTGTGTGTTGTAGAAATTCTCACACTTTCCTTCTACCACTCACCTGAAAACAAGATCTGCTTTACTGCTGGTAATTGTCAGATGTGTCTGCTCTGAAAATGCATCCATGGGACACTTCTGCGGCAGCTGTAGTTAAAATTTCATGGGGAGGCTGTTTTTTTTGTGGCCTATTATAATTGTAATATGAAAGGGGGAAAGAATAGCTTAGCTCTGTACTGGCTTTTCTCTTTAAGTAGCATAAGATACTGTCTTCCATAATTTGTCAAATACACTTTCTCTTTGTAAAAGGACATGAAGATGACCGTAACCTCTGGCTCCACAACTGCAGTGTGAGGAGGGTAGGAACTATTGTGGTGGCTTTTTATTGGCAGGAAATGGTTGAAAATTAACTAATTTAAATCGGAATGTCTGCATCGAGTGCCTGCCTTCATCCTGAAGGCGATGTTCTCCTGAAGCTATGAAAGAAACTCTGTGTGTGTCACGGATCTTTACATCAGCCTCTCTTTACTGCCGTCAGTGCAAGATTCTTTCCTAGGAATCCTCTCAGAACCTGCATCACAGATGTCTGTATCCCAGTCATGTCTGCTGGAAGTTGCAGCTTACCTCATACGCATCTGCAGTTATCTCTGCTCATAGTAACAAAACTGTACTGTAACAGCCTAGAAAACAAACTGGGTTTAGCGAAGGGGTGTGAAAGCCTCCTGAGAGCAGATACATAATATGGACTTTTCTTTAGTGGTATCCCTTGAAGATCAGCTGCTTTTGCTTTCCACCGCAGGTTGTTGTCTTCAGAAGTTACTCTAGATCCAACAACTCTTCCAAGTCCTCTGCAGTTGTTTAGTTCATTCCTGTGCCTTTACACCTTTTGGAAGTGGTTGTGAGCAACTTGCAGAGCAAAGAGGGTGTGAACGAGACCAGATTCAGCTTTAATGTGGAACAGACTTCAGAAATGGCCTTCATGCCTAAGCTAAGGGTGGAAAAGTTGCACAAGCTTCAAGACATGCAGGGCTGTAGAGAACTGTTCTGTATGTGAGGGGTGAAAGTCCTCTGAAATCGTTATGTTGGAATGAGTAGGATTGTTTGTTACTGCAGACATCCTCACAGATACTGGGAGAGGAGAGGCTCCTTTTTTGCTGTGACTGAGCCCCTTTCAGTTATACATGGTGCCTTTACTGTGAAAGCCAGGTGTCAGTGTGTAACATACCACTGCTCTGCATAAACGCTGTGACATTGATAACTTTCAAGTTTTTGCCTCTGGTTTTCACAATGACACCTGAAAACTTGATCACAGTTAACGGAAGGTGCTGTAATGTGAACTTATCATTTCAGTAAGTTTTTGCCTTAACTGATACAAGTGTTTTTCTAATCATCGTATATTAAATATCAGTGATTGTATGCATGCAAAGAAGCGATGGGTAAATACAGAAGTTCCCATTTGTCTGCCTTTTAGGCAGGTGCAGACCTCTTAAGTACTTGCTCCAACAGTTGTGTCAGTTGCCAGCTTCAGACTTGCAGTAGGAGATCCAGTCTGCACTTCAGCTGAATGACCACCTCAGATGTTCTGGAGGGTTTTATTTAATAGGTACAGTCTTCATTCTGTAGCATTTAAAGAAAAATACTACTTCAGCCTTTTTTGCTTTATGCGTCTAAGCAATCTGTGTGAGCAGAGTGGAAGAGAAGTGAAGTTAGCAAGATGAGTTATGTTTGTGGTGAGACAGCTGTGCAGCAGTTCTGAGCTCAATCTGAGCAGCAACATGTTTTTCTTACCCACTTGTACTAGGTCTTTTGGTTCTCAGAAGGTAGATTTATCTGGAATATGAACAGGAGTATCCTGCCTGCTGCATATAACTAAGATACCTTAGGAATCAGTAAGGATAACTTGTTAATTGTATCCAAGTGCTTGTCAGCTGCAAGAAATACTCTGTCTCGTAAGATAAAATCCCTTGTTTCTTTAAGGAGTTGTACACCATGGATGTTCTGCTGTGTGTGAAAGCCATGATCTAGACTGCATCAATCCATGCAGTACCTCAGGGCCAATTAAACTGTTTTTATTAGAGATTAAAAACTTAATTATGTGGGGAAAAGATCAAATGGAATGAATGGAACAAAAATTTTTCATTGGGAGGGAGGGGTAAGGGAAAAGGGCTCAATTTGTAAGGAGATGTGTTGTGATCCAGGGAGTGAGCTTTTATTTTCCAATGAAGCTTTTTGGACTCAAAAGTTATTTTTACAACTTTTAATTCCAAGTTTTCTATTGTCTCACTTTGTGCACATTTCATTAAAAATACTTCCTTAAAACCAAAATAAATTGGACTGGTTCATTATATTATGGGGTTGCTGTCTATTATGAGATCCCTAATTGGGAGAAGGTGAAGGACACTTTTAAAGCAAGGAGTGATGCTAAATGCGTTATGTGACCAATGTTCTTGGAACACAGGGGGGAAAAAAAGAAAAGGCAAACAGCGTTGTCATTGGATGTCTCAGAAGTCATAGAATCAGAGAAGGTTTGGGTTGGAAGGGACCTTAAGCTCATCCAGTTCCAACCCCCTGCCATGGGCAGGGACACCTCACGCTAGACCATGTCACCTAAGGCTCTGGCCTTGAGCACTGCCAGGGATGGAGCCTTTAGGGCTTCTTTGGACCTCACTACCCAAAAGTGCTAGAAAGGCTGTAGTTTTCCTGGCAGGAGCAGCATTTGAGTGCAGTCAGTCTCGGAACTGAGAAAGAAAACAAATCTCTGCCAGCCCTCAGGAGCTTAAAACTGAGTCACAGCGGAGTGTGTGTATGGGAGATAGGAGTTCTGTGAGTAAGTGCCTTGCGATTCTTTCCTTCTTTTTCCTCTGCTAGGCGTTCTGTGGCAAGGCTGTTGTATTTGGTGTATAATTAATTAAAACCAGTTTATAGCTTATTCTAAACCTGTCCAGGCTTTTAGAGGATGTGTTAAGAAGTTAAATTGATAGAGGCTTTGGTGTCTCGTGAAGGATATGCAGGCACTGAAGCGATAGCGTGCGCTTAAAAGCTTTGAGTCTCTGAGATGAGTAACTTAATTACCCGTTTTATCAAATCCTCTATGATACTCTGCAGGAGGATCTGCCTGGGAGGAATTACTAAACCCTTTTCCTTTTAGTCTCTTGAGAGTCTTGTTTCCTTACAGCCTGGAGAGAAAACAGCCATCAAATCATGTTGAGAGTAAAAAGTGGCATCTCAGGAGAATTCCCTTTAGGAGGATTGCTTTTCCATGTTGCTTCATACTCCCCTTCAGTACTTGCTTCCCATTTCCTATGATTTTTTCAGATACCAATTATAGATACCATATTAAGATTGTCATTACCGAGTTGAAGCCTTGCACAAATTGGGTGTCATGAATATTTCAGATGCAATGCCCTGTTTTCTCCATTCCCGACACACAGGCAGCTCTGTTTCCTTCAAGTCTTTGTTTCAGGCCTACAATAATTGGCTGCTTTCTGAAATCTCATTGCTTCATTTGTCTAAAGAAAAAATCTCAGTACCACACGCTGCATCCCCAACCTCTGGCACTCGGCATGCTCTTAATTCAGGCGTTTTAGTTGAGTATTTCCCAATGTAAATGTATTCCTCATCACTCTGTTCCTTTATCAAAAGCTGGTTTGTGCTGTTCTTGTTCCCTGCACGTATCACCTATGGCCTTAAAATGTGTGCCAGCACGGAGTTGTTTTTCCTCTTTTGATTTATTACTTCTTTTCTCTGCCAATGCTTTTATTGCAAGGGTACGCTGGAGGAATTACAGAAACTGCTGTTTAAAGCATATACCATAAAAATAGAACTATGGGGTGAGAGGAGGGGTTGGGGAAGGAGTTTCAAGTAAAGGTTCAAGACCCTTTGAAGAGTATCTTTGCCTTCATAAAGCCCGTTGTAGCTGAGGATTACTTAACATGAAGAGGGTGTGTTGCAATGGGCTCTGGGAATTGCAAGTTTACAGCCAAGGAAGTGCAGTTTTACCCAGCTGCAGGAAAAGTGCAGATTAGTTCAGGCTTGTGAGTGGAGTAAACTCATGGGCACTCTTAATGAGTAAATAGGCCTGAGTTTCATCCACAGAACTATCCCTGTAAGTGTGTCATTGTGGAAAGCATTAAACATTCATTTCTTAAACGAGACTGAAAACAACACGGGTTTGTTCTTGTGAAATCTGATGTAATACACATGCAAATACCTTCAGTTGGTGACACTGATGGGGTTTAAATTCAGTAATCCCCGTGACTTGATCAGTGTTGGTCGTTGAAAACCCGTTGTTTCCCAAATACGCTGCGTGTGGTGGTGGTGTGGATGCTAACGTTGCCTTCCTTTCTTTCAGCTTGGGGTTTAGCTTGTCAAAGATGAGCAATGCTGTGTTTCTGGCAGGTCACAGTACTGCAGTTTCAAAGTAACCAGCTATTGCAGCCAGGTCAAGGGGTTTGTGTGTGTTCTCTAAGATTGAAGAGATTGGTGTATAAGAAATAACACCTCTGAAAGAGGTGTTAAAGAAAGTTTTGAGGTTTTGAGGATTTGGTTTTGTGGGTTTGAGGATTACATCTCCAGTGCATTGTGGTAAGTACCTTTGCTCAGGAAAGCAGCTTAATGTCAGCTCATGTCAACTGCTTCAAAAGTTACCAAAATGCCATTTGTATTTTCTTCATAGTGTTCAAGCCTTCAGTCCAGGCTCTTGTGCTGCGTGAAGTTACACAGGGATACAATGGACCTTTGTCATTAAAGAGGCAAGAACCATCCAAACAGGATCTCCTGCGGTAGGTGTTTTAGTTACAGGTGAGCCCAGCTTTATAGAGCTCCTATGTAAAGCAGTAATCTTGCAATTAATAATGTTCCCAATATTTTGTAATGTTTTCCATTTCTTAATTCCATTATTCCTGTTGATCCCAGCAGGCGTGTTAACTTCAGAGAATGATCTGCAGCATTTAATCAGTGAGCACTTCTTCCTGGGGGCTAATTTTAAGGGGTTTTAACAGCTACTTTGCAAGCGTGCACACTACCTGTGGCAAAGGTAAAGGGATGCATGAAGGCTGCATTTCTGTACACAAGTTGGTAAGTGATCTGATTTTGTACACAGTGCATATATGCTGTATAGTAAAGCCAACGTACCTGTTTTTTATATACAGTGAGCATATAATCACTGAGAAGGGTTTGGCATAAAAGCCACAAAGCTTTTCTTCTTATTAATGGTAAGATGTGAATAGTGGAGCTAAATGCTTACCTTTGTTTCCTCACCAGTGAGGTGCTTCCTGTCACTTCCAGGCATATTGCCAAATTTGGGGGTGATAAAAACCTGCAGAGCAGAAGTGAAGTAAAAGGGTGCAGCACGTGGCAGGTCTGGGCCCATGGCTGCTGGCACCCACATCCATGCTTGCTTTTCTTTGTTACACTCAATGGGAGCAGAATTTAGGCACAGCTTCCCAGCTGTAAATTCCCTATCGTGGGAAACCCTGGATAGCCTGAATTACCCCCAGAGCCATTACTCCCATGGCAACCAGCGTGCTCAGCAGTCCATGGGCATGCGGCTGCAGCACGCTGCCTTCTGGCTATCCCAGCCAGCTGAATACAGGTTGGAAGCTGTTACTAACTGTGAGATTTGCTGCAGTCTCCTGTTGGTGACCACGTCAAAACCCCAAGCTCGGGAATGTAACATGAAATGTCCTGACTGAATTCTCTCCTTTCAGTTCCGCTGCTCCATTGGACAGGGCATACAAGAGAGCACAGGGCTAGAGATTAACACGTTCCCTTTCAACTTCTTCCTATCCACCAGTTTAGCACAGGGTGCTTCTATTTCTATATCCACCTTGAAAGGCAAAATTCAGACTCGTGTGTCTAACTGCATGTTTGTGCATGAAGTAGCTAATATATATGCAGATGAATTACAAGTGAGTAGAGCTAAACCCAGTAAAGTACATTTCTAGCTAAGGGCTACTTGCAGCTCTGTTACATATCACCTAAGTTACTCACTGTGGACCTGCTCATACAGTTTTCTGTATTCTAGTTTAAGACATAGCCCTCTGATGGTAAAGAACTTCATGTCTCCTTATGGAATGTGTGATTCTTGAGACCGAAATGTCACATTCTGCAGCTGGCTTGTGGCTTTTAAGGGGTATTAAGTGTTACCATATATCTTAGATGACTGCATTTAAGAGGCGCTTTACTCCATGCAGTGTTTTTTCCTTTCATTTCCTGGCACTTCACGGTTGCCAGTACTCCAGCCTTGACTCACTTCAAACCTCTATTCCTGTGACTAAATGAATGAATTAGAACTTAAACCCCTTAGTTTCATGTTAGACAAACGTTATCAAACAGTAATGTGAGTACCTTAATGTGAGCAAGAGACACCCACAAACCATGAACTTGATTGTAAGAGTAATTCTGTGGGTGGGACCCTCATTTTCCACCCTGCATTTGGTACATGAATATAATGCTGGGGAAGGAAGGTGTCCAAGCCACCTCAGTGCTTAGCCAAGATCCCAAACAGTCCTTGAGCTCCTCAGCATATGTAACCCATCCTTGTGCTCCCTACAGCCTCTTTCAGCCTCTTTAGTTACAGTGGGTAACTCAAAACAGCTGGAGTGTGGCATAGGATACTGTGATCATGACTTTCTCCCTGGAAAAAGGAGATCCTCCTTTCTCCTCATCTTGCTTAAAGTGGGATTGGACACAGGAATCCTCATCAGAGTGAGAAATCCTTAGCCCTGGAAATTCCTGACTCTCCAGGAATCATTTTCACTGGATAAGCTACTGAGCAGTGTGAAAGGACCAGATCATTTCACAGCTTGACAGCCAAAGACAGATCTCACCCATCTTTACTTCTGTGAATGAAGCATTGCAGAAGAGCCTAGACCACACTCTCGGACTAGATACCAGCACGAAACCGTGTGGAGTTCTCAATTTCATTGTCAATCAACACCTTTGAAAAGTGCCCTGAGTTTGCTTTCACACACCATGTAACGCCAATGCTTATGCATTTCCTAGGTTAGTATTCCTGCTGGTTTGTGGAGTACTGTTATTAAGGATACTGGAATTTAGTTTGAACTGATTTTTTTAATGGTGACCATTTTAATAATGGCTGATTCAAGTATGGTTCTGAGCAACCTGATCTAGTTGAAGATGTCCCTGCTTATTGCAGGGGGCTGGAACTAGGTGAGCTTTGAAGGTCCCTTCCAACCTAAACTAGTCTATGATTCTATGGTTGTGCCATGTCTTCTGCCAGAAGAGGCCTCACCAGCGAGGTCTGATGTCTGTTATTCAGGCCTATTTGTTTTGTGAGGTCTGAGAGATTCCCACAGGCTAATTCAG